GGTTAGCAACATCGTGTCTTTGGACCAACAACCCGGCCACAAGAACACGACGGTCGTTGGAACAATGATTCTTTTTTTTCAGTGCACGCCGAACTGCTCGATGCATGTGCTTGTACTCACCGGTCATGAGGAAGACGACGTCCTGGCGGGCCACGTCCAGTGGGGTCTTGCCGCGGACGTTCCGAAGGTGGGGGTCGGCTCCGTGGCGCATCAGCAGGCGCACCAGCTGCAACAGCGTGACCCGGGGGTTCACATCCGAGAGTTCGAAGAGTATGTGCGTCAGCGGAGGCGTTGGCCGACCAGGCGCTAAGCTGGGCCGGGGGCGGGGCCAGTGCACATAACACACTACGTGTCTTAGATGGGATACATACACACACCCCTCACAGGGCTGTAGACCACCTTGGGTACAAGTATCACGCGGTCCTATTTCTACGTTCGTCCAGAGCCATCTGCAATGCAGATTCAGACCACGTGGACTGTACGGGGGTACAATAATTGTTATGAGGTCTCAAAAGGGTCAGGGCGGTCATTGGAGTCCATAGAGACCCCATGATATTTCTACCCCGGGTATAAATATCATGTGCCTATAGACTTTTGGGACCCGTAATATTTGTATCCCCCTAAAGTTGTTTCTAGCCTAGCCATACCTTGAAGTGGCCGTTGACGGCGGCGTCGTGGAGGGGCGTGTCGTCGTCCCAGCCCTTGACGTTGACGTGCGCGCCCGCGCGGAGCAGCGCGCCGGCCACCCGCAGCCAGCCGTGGTTGCTCGCCTCGTGCAGGGGCGTCCAGCCTGCGAACAGAGACGCGGTTGTTGTTGTTCACGGTCACTCATTTCCTTTGAAATGATCTCGGACTTGCTTTACTTCACTTGACATAACTTCACTTCACTCACATGCCGGTAAAAAGTGTACTACAACTACATACAGTGTTCCTACACCTGATAGACAAAACGCGTGCTCTCCTGACCCTTGCTAATTTTCTCCGTCTCTCTCTCCCCTCTCAGTCACACACACACACACACACATTCTACCGGAAGGGGTGCGCCGGCGACGAGAGAGTGAGAGAGCGCGAAAGAGAGAGAGAGGGGGGGGGGGAGAAGATGAAAGAGATGCCCTCTGGAGATGCCTATGTGTTCTGGAGTGCTCGGGAGGCGCGGTCTGGGCCGTCCCTCAAGGTCACGCGCGAGAAGGAGGAGGAGAAGGAGGAGTTGGAGGAGGAGAAGTTGGAGGAGGAGCAGGAAGGGGGAGGAGGAGGAGGAATGTGAACCGGGATGGGGCGGATACAGCAAAGCCTGCGGCCCATCCTTGCACTCCGCGGATTTCCAAGTGGCAATTTTCCATTTGTTCAGTTTGCGGCCGTTTCACTGAAACGACCTTGTCTATTGTATGATGAGAAGAGAATGCACGTGCTACCTAACCAGGGCGTCGTAACGCAACGTAACGCGTAACGGAAACGCACTAAACCGAAAATAAAATTGCAGTTTAAAAGCGTTTTTGAAGCGTTTTCATCTTCCTGCGAGCATTAAACAAGAGAAGGCTTTTGAATTTTTTTGAAAACGCTTCAATAACGCATTACATGTGCAATTTTATGTGCGTTTTTATGCGTTTTCGTTACGTTTCTCGTTACGTTACGACGCCCTGTACCTAACACCCTACATATCACCCCTTATGAGGAGGTTTCACTTCACGGTGTTACGGGGTGGTTATACATACTTGCCTAAGACAGGGCCGAAGGAAAAAGAAAATCAGAAAAGTGTAGAGGCAAACAAGAAAGAGTACCCATACACGTAGCAAATGTACCCCATTGAACTGATTCAACGGGAAGCCTTAGAAGAAACGTCTGCGACGACAAAAACATGTCGTCGGTTGGCTTTTTTTCCACTTTGCGCAGAAATGGGGCCGCCGTTGCTCCGCCGTGCTCCGCCGTGCTCGCGGCCGACATGGCTCCGCACGGCTCAGACCAGCCTCTCTGCCGTGAGCCTTATCGTCCCGCGGGTGACATAACGCCAGCGGCGGCCAGCTGCACGTGGGGCCGTGGGGCTGGCGGAGCAGCGGAGCGGAGCAGCGGAGCCGCACAAGTGCGCGCGCGTGCCCACACACGCAGGGGAGGGGCCATAGACAAACCACGCGAGAATCTATTTACTTATTGCATTAAATCAATCCCGTATGTCTTGCCGATATTTTTGCGGGGGGCGGCTGTATGCCTTTACAGAACCCCGCCGTATACATACACCTAAATGCAACGTCCTCTTTCATATTTTGAACTCAGGTCGATGAAAAGTGACTATACCCTGTAATGCCGGGGTGTCCAGCGCTACTTCTTAGTCCAAGGTCCAGCGTGTCAGGCGACACAAAGTCGCCTGACCCCCAAAAACTAGGCGACTCATGTCGACTATCTGCTGGCCACCTACCTACCTGCTGGACACCCCGGATATACCTTGGTCCAAGGGATATATACCAGGTGGCTGATTCACGCCGCGCACTTATGTAGGTATACTGTACTGCACGCACGAGTGCGGGCGGGCTTGCCTATCGCCCCTGTCCACGGCGCCTTACGAGCCGAGCGAGTAGGCAACACGCCCGCACTCATGCATGCGGTACAGCATAACTACAGAAGTGCGCGGCGTGAATCAGCCACCTGGTACAGTGCAGCGGTAAGGTGATTATATACGGCAGGAATATATTTTCTCTATTTTCTTCATGAGGTAACCCTAAAACGGCCTAACGCAGGGCCAAAACGAAAAGTGCGGGGTCCATGAGAACACCCTCTCCCTGCATACTCTGACGCTCGCTCTGAGGTTAACTTTGAAGACCATGAAAAGTAAGTTACCCTGCCCTGCCCCTCTCCACTGTACACCCCTAAAATTACATTGCAGTACTGACGTACGGCGACGAGCGGTTTTCGCCCGAAACGAGTCTCGCCTGGCTGCAATGCCAATGCGGATGTTTCTCGCAGGAGGCCATGCCGACGAATCAAGGCTTTCTCGAGCAGAGTGAGAATAAAATAAAAATGTATTAATACCTTTAGGGGGCGGGGTGAGGCCCCCGCGGTCTCATCGGGCGAAAAACACACCGAGCAGCGTCACCTCCACGAGGCCAAGCTGATGTCCACTGTTGTCCGCTTCGGTGGAACATTCGACACAACCAGCCTGGTGAGCCCTGCCAGTGGTTCATTACATACCACTACGTACTATGTTTAGAGTGCTGCATTTTAAAACACTAACCTAACCTTTGTTACGTGGCTGAGCATGAGGTTCTTTGTGCAACCCCATGAAGTCCAATGGTGATAGAGCGTGAACCCATTTTTTTTTGAGGGGGGGGGAGGGGTGGCATAATATTTGTACCCCTCCTCCTCCTCCTAGGGCACGTAGTATCCGGCAGCACTGGGCCACGGGCATCTCCGCCTTTTGTTTTGTATCGCTCAGGGTTCAGGGTTCAAGGCGAGGCCCCCGTGGAGATGGTGATTCCGAGGATTCCCCCCCTCCCCCTTCAAATCCCCGCGCGCACCGAGTGTTACGCGGCGTACGTGACAATTGTCAGAGTATGAACCAAACACTGATGCACTACAGGTTTGCATATGCACCACAATCGAGCCCACTGACTGAACCCACAGCAGTAAGTGCATCCAATGCAGCACGAAAGTGTGAACGAAACGAGAAATTATTGCGACACTTTGCAGGCTCACAAAGGTGTCACAAAGGTGACAGAGGCCGAGCCTTGGATGCTGACCATATGAGCCTGACGGCCTGACCTGTCAGGGGGTCAGGATCACGGTACGGTCAGGGTTGTCGCTAGCAGACAGGGAATTTGGATAGGCGAGGGGCGCCTAACTCCATAAAAATGTGTACACCGGATTACCACCTTGTAATGATTACCAATGATTACCAAAGATTACCAATGTAAACTAGGTATATGATCCACCAGCATTCTAAATCGAAACGGCCATTTTTGGTTCCGAGAAAGATGCATTTTTGGTATCTTTGGTAGTTCTTGATTCTTTATCATGCAAGTTACAAATTTGGATTCTCTGATTGGCCAAATCGTGATTTTGTCCACGAGAGGGATACAAAAGTTGCCATATTAAACATGTGCGTTGGCGTTTAGGCAAGATGTGCGCAAAAAATCATGTCTAAATCAACAAATTTGTCCTTTTAAAGGACCCTCACGAATGTGAGGATTACCAGGGATGACCAGGGATTGCCAGTGATTGCCAAGTCTGTGTACACCTGATTACCACAGTTAGGAGCCCCTCGCAGAAGGGAAATTTGGGAGTTGGGCAGGGAAAAAACTGAGAAAAACCGGGACAAACATAGAAATTGTCGATTGGGCGTCCCAGCCCAGAGGGCACGAGCTGATGCGTCGGCAAGACGCAATGGCGCCTTCGAGGCCCCGAGTGAGAACCGTAGAAAATCGTATTTTTGGATCAAGGAAATTTTCGTTAATGGATGACAAGGAAATTGTCGCACTTATCTCGCAGAAACGGCTCTTTTGCTTCAAGGTCAGATCTTTGATTCATTGCATGTTTCCCCTTGTTACAAAACAGGCAACACTTCACTGATGCAGTCGCGCCAGGATCAGCGAAAGTGTGCACATAGGACGGCGGCGGGGCTTCCAGCACAGCAAGTAGTTGAACAGCAGGGCCATCGGCACAAGTAGTGTATGCACATGAGGGCTTGACGCGGGAGACAAAAGAAGCACAGAGTACCTAAATGAGCCGCATTGGGACGGCGGCGGGGCTTCCAGCACGGCCATCAGCACAATGGCATCAAAGAGTTTCGAAGAACTCTGCTGCTGCAGCAGCCTCGCTGTCGCAGACCCCGCCGTCGCCGCCGCTGCTGCTGATGATAAGAAAAACCCGTTCGAGAGAGCCTCGCCTCAAAGGGCGTCCTGCGCTCCGAGCCTTCCTTTTCGAGCTCGGCTTCCAGTGACGGCGGCGGCGGCCGCGACGACGACGACGACGTCAGGAAGGAGGCGAACCCGTTTCCTGTCCTGCCTGTCCTGCCTGTCCTGCCCGGTCTGTCCACTCAAGCCTGGCTTCGCCGCCGGTCGCCGGCTGGGTGGCTGGCCGCTGGCCGTCGCTCTGGCCCCGGCCCCCGGCCCCGTCAGCGGCCCTTGCTCGGGGTGGATGTGGATCCGAGCAGTCTTCCGACCAGCAGCAGCAGACAAATTCAGTCTGATTTATTGACGAAGAGGAGGAATGGATAAACGTGATTAGGGGACAAACTGTGTGCGAGCGTGTGTGCGACGTCCTACTGCTTCCCCTACCTTGCACCTAGCGGGCCGGGCTCACACTTTTCTGCCGTTCCATAAATATATGTAGATTTGTTAACGAAGGATGGGAAGTCCACGGTAAAAACGATGGCCCAGTTTTCCAGCTATAAGCCAGTCTTTGAAAAACCAAGATGTCTTCTTATGGAAGAAATGCATGAGGACGTCTTGGCTTTTTCCACTTGCTTGAAAACCAGAGGACGTCGTTTTTACCGTGTGCAGCACGTGAGTGTGTGTGGGGGGGGAAGAGGGGCAAGGGGGG